ATCAGTAGGCTGAAATATGCTGCCTTGGCAACTAATGTTCTGAATGGACTGGTCCCATTCTTTACACATCATTTGGGGGAGTTGACGACTACTCAAGCTAATAGGGTGATTGCGAAGTGGCTGTCCAGGTCTCTGATCCATACGACACGCCGCAAGGAACTTGTGTGGTGCTTAGAGACTTTACGGGCTCGACCATTGGACCAAACCCTACAAGACATTTACGAAGCTATCGATTTCCTTGATGGATTTGGGTCTGACCCACTTGACGTCGCTGAAGCTAAGCTGGAATTTGACATGGAAATGGCTGATGCAAAAGATATCAATGATGGAGCTACAGTAGCAGGCGCCATGGATGAGTTACTGGAGAAGGATAGCCAATTGGAAGCGGCAATCACTGAAATTGAGTCTAAGGAGAATCTTTTGGTTGAAAAGAGTAGCGCTTTGGAAGCTGAACGAATTCGGTCTGAGTCTCTGGCCAACAAACTTGCGGCTCTGCGCCTCCTGCAACAGACTATTTTGACCCAAGCGGCGCAGCCGGCTGTGTCTCCCCAACCTGCAGTCACGGTTCCCTTTCTCCAGGACAGGCCAGAATCAGCAGCTTCGATTCTGCCACAAAGGAGCCAACTCCGCCGGCTACTACAGCGCAAGCAGTCAAGTCAAGTCCGCTAACGGCACCCCTACCGAGCTCGCCATCTCGGGCTACTACGGCCATCGCCAACCAACCTCCGCCTCAAGACACCACCACTGCTGCTTCTCGGCGGGAACTTCTGACTCCGGACCACACAGCAAGGACGCTGCCGACCTCGGACCATAGCAATGCTGTGGACCCAGGCTCCGGCCCAGGGTCCTCTACTCCGTCTCTGGCCAGTTCTAGGGTCTCTGACAATTCCTCGGATGGTACGCCGTCCCCGGTCTTCTCCATCTTCCGTCATCCTCAACACTCTCCTCCTTCTGACCGTACTACGGGTAAACGAAGGAAGAAGAAGCCATTGGCCAGCCGTGGAGCCTCCCGCTCCACGGCAGGGCCATGAGAGGCCCTCGATTGTCTGCCGCTCGGTCACGGCGTGCAGGCAGAAGATCTCGACTAAGTGGCCCCTCGACTGATGTCCCCCATGCATCAGTAGAGGAATTTTTACGTTCTCTTCCCGCCGGTGATTTCTTCGGTGATGATCACAGCTGTCACCGTTCTGCACTGACCCGCCTGGTCTTCCAAAATGTCAATGGCCTCCCGGCCGTGTCGACAGGGCGGAAGCAGTTACAGATTAATCAGTGGCTGAAAGATGAACAAAGTGGGAACTGCGTTGTTGGCTGAGACCAACACGCACTGGCCTTCTCTACCTGAAGGTCATAACTGGAACGATAGGATGCGACAAGTTGGGCCCAAGGGGTACTATTCGGCGACGGCACATAATGAGAATCGCGCCCGGCCAATTGCGTCTTGCTCTCAGTATGGAGGATGCGTCGCCACTGTCTTGAATTCAGTGGCACATCGAGCCAAGTCAGGTGGTAGGGACCCGTCCAAGTTGGGAAGGTGGGCGTACGTGCGCCTTCGAGGCAAGAAGTTTGATATGCCATCCTCGGATAACCAAGTCAACGAGGCTGCCAATGCGTCATGTAGCCGGTTCTCTAAAGACTTGGTGGTTGTCTCCGCATACCGGCCAAACCCCCCGGGTAAGGGCGAATCTACGGTATGGGCGCAACACCGCAGCTTCTTCCGCTCTCAGGGCAGACAGCGTGATCCAAGGGAGGCGTTTATGGTGGATCTTTTACGTGCAATAACCCAATGGCGCGACGAGGGGTGTGAAGTGATTGTGGGCGTGGATGCTAATGAGGATGTCTCCTCATACCAGGATTCCTCTTTTCGCCAGCGACTTCGCAGCATAGGATTGGAGGAAGCAATCCTACAATGTCATCCAAGTCAAACTGCAGCAACCCAGCATCGCAACAAACGTGGCAGACCCATTGATGGGATTTTCGCAACTTCCGGAGTGGTGGTTAAAGCGGGTGGCTACTACAACTTTGATGAATTTTTCGCCTGTGATCATCGCGGTCTGTGGATGGATATTGATTTGGAACAGACTCTTGGAAGCTATCGTCCGGAGAAGACACCATACAAACCTCGCAAATTAACAATGCTTGACACTGCGGCTGTTCGACGCTATCTCCGGCTGGTTCACCAAGGCTATGACGTGTACTCCATTCCATTGCGGTTGGAGCAGCTTCATAGACAATTAACATTAAACAGTGGGATTATGACGGAGAAGATGGGACGCCAGTATAACTGTTTGCATAAGCAGATGTATGATATTCGTCGGAACGCGGAAACGAGGTGTCGAAGGGTCACAAATGGGGCTGTCCCGTGGTCTCCCCAGATCCAAAATTTTTGGGACCGCCAGTCCCTCTGGAAGCTACTGCTGAAGGGAAGGAAGCAATGTTGAGTCAGCTCGCGAAAAATCCGCCGCCTTATGAAGAAGACTAAGTTGCCCGACGCGTGGAAGAAGACTACAGTTGAATTGGAGACGGCATTGCGTAATGACAGGAAGGAGTACCTGCATGCCAAGAAAAACCACGCGGTTTCATGGCGCAAGGAGTTCTTGACTGTTCAAGTGAAGAAATCTAAGAAGAAACAATGGACATCGCGCAAGGCTAGGGATCGCTTTTTGAGGTTACGGCGGATGAAGCAACGAGAGGAGGCGAGACGCCGCCGCCGCGCCCAGTCAAAAGGATCTACCGGCGGTTTGCAAGCGATTCAAGTTGAGGAGACGTTACCTACCGGACAAGTGGATCTGCGAACTCTCACCGACCGGAGACAAGTCGAGCAAGGGTGCATGCAGGAAAATCGCGCACGGTATGACCAGACTCGATCGCCCTATACGACTCCTCCCATGGACGAACCTTTGTATTCAATGTTCACCGGGGCAGACGCAGAGAGGAACTCCCACGCACTTCTGGAGGGCCGCCTTCCCATGCCGGAGGGGATCGATTCTTACACTAAGTCATTCCTGGAGCAGTGCCGTTTCCAACAAGGGCACTCTATGATCCCGATGGAAGTTTCGCCGGCTGATCATACTTACTTCTGGTCTCGTAATCCAGAGAACAAGGGCTTGGAACCGCATGGGCTTCATAATGGGCATTTCAAGGCTGGGATTTATTCCCCTATGGTGGCTCAATGCGACGCTCTCTTCCGCCACATACCCTTGACAACTGGTTTTGTCCCTGACAACTGGCGGCATCTGATGAATTTCGCTATTGCAAAGAAGCCAGGCGACTTTTGGCTGAAAAAAATGCGTACGATTCAGCTCATGAATTCTGAATCTCAAGCGAACTACAAGAAACTGGGCCGCCTGGCAATGGCCTACGGCGAAGAACATCACCTCTTGGCCGATGGACAGTGCGGGTCTAGAAAGCACCATCAAGCGATCGATCTTGCCCTGTCTAAACGTCTTGTGTGGGACCTTCTGATTCTCCAGCGCCGCTCTGCGGGGTGGATTTCAAATGACGCAAAGTGGTGTTTTGATCAGGTCGTCCATTGGGTTGTGGTGTTAGCTATGATGCGTCTGGCGATTACTTGGAATGCGTTGCGCATGATGTTTGACACTCTTGCAACGTCGACACACCGAGTGCGGACAGGCTTTGGTGACTCCAAAGAGAGCTTTCATCCCCCTTCCATGGTTCCATTTCAGGGTTGCGGCCAGGGCAACGGAGCGGGCCCGCCCATTTGGGTCTCCGTTAGCTCCGTCATCATACAGATGATGACCGCGATGGGCTTCGGCTTTGAATGCCTCACCGCGATTGATTCTCAACTGATCACCGCTCAGTGCTTCTGCTTTGTCGACGACACGGACGTGATTGAAGCGGGCAAGTCCGTGGAACAATCTGGCGAGGATATATGCCACTCCGTCCAACAAGCGGCTTCCACATGGGCTGGAGGCATTAGTGCTACTGGAGGGGCAATTAATCCAGAAAAGTCCTTTTGGTGGTTGATTGACTTTGTGTGGGAATCCAGAGAAGGCAAATGGAGATTCCGCCGGACACACCAACTCCTACCGGATCATCCATTACAAATACCGGGACTAACTGGCGAATTGGAAGCCTTACGCCGTCTGGAGCCGGATGAGACAGAGAAAACCTTGGGGGTCATGCTGGCCCCATTGGAAGATCAACATGCTCATGTCGTCCATCTCAAGAGTATCGCCAAAAAGTGGGCTGAGCAAGTGCGATTGGGGCATCTACACAAATACGATGTCATTCCCCTTATCAAAACAACAGTGATGATATCCCGGGAATATCCTATGGTGTTAACTACACTGGATGCTGCGACATGGGTGTCAATTATGAGTCCTATTCTCCAAGTCTGCCTGCCGAAGGCCGGCATATGTAGGAACTTTCCTCGGGACATGGTTCTTGCCCCTCTCAAATTTCAGGGTCTGGGTATCCCTCATCCGTTTGGTACTCAGGTGTCTAAACATCTTGAGGTCCTGCTTCGCCACTTGTCCAACCGAACCAAAACTGGGGCGTATATGGAGGCTGCGGTTCAAGAACACCAACTCGAGACCGGCACCTCCTTTGGACTCTTCCAGCAGGACTAAGCAACACAGCAACTTTGGCGTCAGATACTTGGCTCAAACGAGTCTGGAAAGAGTTGGAGGACTTGGATATCTATGTTGCTCTTGACTCTCCTGTCCCCCCTCTCCGGTGTGAAGGCGATGCCTTGCTCATTGAGGTATTCATGGAGTTGGAAGTGGATCAGGACGCTCTAAAGTGGCTCAACTGGTGCCGTATGTTCCTCCAAGTTTGCACCGTCTCCGACATTGTAACGGCGGATGGCCTTAGCATACGAGAGTCCATGTGGCATGGGGAACGTGACTACGCTCATCGGTCGTCATATCAATGGCCTCGCACTGTCCGGCCTAACAGGAACCACTGGAAGGTGTGGCAGGAACACCTTACCCGAGCACTACTTGTCTCTGACGGACCCCAGCGCCTACTGCGTCATCCTCTGGGCCCATGGATCGATCCCCTCGACAACTGGAACTGGTTATGGTCTTCTACCCACGGATTGTTCCACCGCCAGGGCCATGGGTGGCAGCACTACCGTCCCCGTAGCTTCTCCACACGGAATATTCAATGGGACTATCCTCGTTCTACGCAATTGTCCGGGTGCAAACGACCACATAACGAGCACACCGACAACGGCGTCAGCTTCTTGCCAGCCCCCTTTTGGAACCAACCACTCCCTGCTGACTTGTGCCGAGCTACCGTTCACATTACGCCTTCGTTAGGCACTCTTGCCCTCACCGGCATTGGAACAGCATCGCTGCAACCGCATCACGACTCTCAACCGTCTTTGCTAGCCGCCTGGATGGCCGCCTCAGCCAGGGTGACCGAATATGTTGGCTGGACCCCTGAAGAAATTGAGATCGATGGCGACAAAAGCCTCCTTGTGGTAGCCCTACTCGAAGACCGGCTGTGTGTGATCAGCGACGGTTCTTACAAGCTCGGTCCGGGCATGGCAGCGGTTCAACTGCTTCCACGTAAGGGTGGCACAGAACGTATTATCGTCCGGTGCCAGACTCCAGGTCTAACTGATGACCAGAGCGCGTACCGGAGTGAATTAATTGGTCTACTGGCCGGTATCATGGTTGTTGATTGGCTCCTCGACCAGTAAGCCCTGAGACTTTGATCACCACCCCGCGTTAGGATTGCGTGCGATGGATTTTTGGCATTGCTCAACATATATATATATAACTGAATCATTAATTGGTATTTATGCTACTTGGCATTGCTCAACACCTTTGGTGACAATCGAGTCACACCGCAACAAGCCCAGTTTGACTTGCCCGCTCTAGGGCCTTGTGGGAACCTAGCCACGTGTACGGTCACCTTGATACAGCGACATCCTTTTCGTGCCTCTCTTGGTGGTCTAAACGGAATATGGAAGTGGATGCGTGGGCGGTCGCCTATCGCCACCAGCTCGCTGCTTCACACCGATCAATTGCACCTAACGCTCGTTTCTTTACCGAATTGGCTG